TCTGTTGGTGCAGAAGCAAAGGGCAGTGTTCCTAACAGATCATTATTCATCCCAGAATCACTGATGGAGCATCTGCAGGAGTAGGAACAGTACTGATCTCCAGGAATATGGTAATGAATGAGAAATGAGAGGGGTTCTTAAAAATAGAAAACCACATTTATATCTTGCAGTTTTTTCCTTCCAAGAGATAATTTAAATGTAGAAAGCCAGTTTTAGAACATCTTAAAGAACTTGATCACACATGTAAGGTATATTGCCAGTAGTGAGTGGGAACTGCTGAGGAGAAGGAAAAACCCTTTGACTTTTCAACCCAAAGAAGATTGGTCGTTGTTCTCCAAGTCAGTTTTGCGCATCTGGCTGTGGTATGTGTGTGTCAGCTCATTTATAAGCTTCTTGTATTATACGGAGAAGGTAGGCCAGGACAGAACAGAGGGAAACATGGTCAGCTAAAGAATAAAACCAGCACTTCAGCTCAGAAGAAAGTTAATTTAAAGGGGGGGGGGGGGGACCGGATAGTTAGATTCACAGATCTGAAGTGGATTCACAGGAAAAAGTTTAATGTCCTGTAGAGGACAGACAGGGGAACCTGGATCCCGTCAGTGGCAGCCTACAAGCTCAGGTGTCTGCTTACAGTCCCCGTTCAGTTCCCTACGTCTGTGCAGGTTACTGCTGTACCTTTAACTTTTTCATGTAAAATAAGAACAACAATAATAACTATTTTATAGGAATAAATGAGTTAAGTTGTATAAAGCACTCAGTAAAATGAGTTGGTCATGCTAAGCTCTCAATAAATTTTAGCAACCATTGCTATTATTGTTGTTAAATATCATTATCCATAGTTTATACTGGATTTCTCATGTTATCTCTGTGAAAAATATGTAAGGTAGGAAACATCTCAGACGTCCCAGGACTGTCATGGTTAGGCCTACTATAAATGTTAGTAAGGCTCTTTTCCTTCTCAAAAGTGTCCTAGTTTGAGAAATAAATTATATATGTGGCTATTTAAATTTGAATGTAAATTATATTCAATTACATATAAAAATGAGTAAAGATCAAGCCCCTTACAGTGGGTTCCAGAATAGAATTGGGGAATGCCACCCAGAAACGTGTAGGTTGACGGAGCTGAGGAGAGCTGGCTGTGGCGTGTAACCAGAGTGTCCAGGGAGGGCCACACCGCCAATCACAACTCAGGTCCTTAGGAGCGCAGCCCTCAGACCAGATTTACATCCAGACAGATCTGCATCCCGAGCAGGAATATTTCACTATGACAACCCAAGGACAGTCGGAAGCTCACGTGTGCACAGGTGGTCGGAGGGAGAGGTTGATGCCGGTGAATCTCCACAGGTCGGCCTTTGTGATTCCCTGGTGAGAGAAGGATGAATCCAGTGTCCTGGGATGAGTGGTTCAAAATACCAGGTCATCACTGAGAGAAATTTTATCAAAAGATAAAATATACAGAGGAAAGGAAGAGCTCCATTTTAGACATATTAAGTTCATAATGTCTGAGACAGGCATCCGCGTGGAAATTTCCAGAAGGCAGCTGTGTGTCACCAGTTTGGTGCTCAGAGGCTGCAAATTTGGCAGCCCTTGACCTGGACATAGTAGGGTAAGCCTGTGAGTGACCGAGGTCACTTAGTATGAAGATGCCACAGCGAGGAGGGTAATGTGTCAGGGGCAGACGTCAGGAAACACGAGCCTTTATCGTACGTGGGCAGAAGAGAAAGAGGAGCCAGGACAGCAGGGGGTGAAGACGACCCATCAGGAGGACACTGTGGGGAGATGGTCCCTGAGGAACTTTCAGCAGGGTCGCGCCACCGGCGGCTCACGATAAAGACTCTCGGCTTCAGCAGGAGGACATCTTGACAAACACCTGCAGATGCCACAGTGCGGAAGGGGACGTGGAGGCCTTCACCTTAGAGAGGCCGGGCGGGTCAGCTGGTCCGTCACCACCCACTGCGTCACCACCCACATGTGGCTGTTTACATCTGAATGGGAGTTACATTCAGTCACTGATAAAAGTGAATAGAGGTAAAAATTACATTCTGTGGGTGTCCTGGCCACATGTGCCCAGCGGCTATGAGGCTGGGCAGGGCATACCTGGAATATTTCCTCCATCCCAGCACATTCTTAGGGCGGTGTGGGAGTTGTGGAGGGGGAGGGAAGATGTAGAAGCTTGAAGATGCTCCTGTCAGGGGCACTGGCCCGTCCACTGTGCTCGGGGAGGTCCCGAGTGGGTAGCCTGAGCATGAGGCATCCTGACTGACTCAGAGAAGTTGATTAGGCAGAAACAAGGGCAGAGGGGGAGGCCGGGGGCGGGGGGGCTGAGGGTGCCAGGAAAGTTCTTCCTCCAGAAATACCTGGGAAGGGTAAAGTGCAGGCACAGCCTCCTGTGGCAACTACTGTAGTCATCACAGGGACTGGTGGAAAATACAGAGGGCTGTATACGTAAAGGGGCTGTTTTTTTCTATTATGAAAACTCGAATACTTGACTAAGAAACATACTGATTTCTAAAATATTAGATAAACCACAGTTGAGGCTGATGCATTATAATAGCTAATGATACTTCATGGTATGCACTTGACTGGGCCTTTAACATTAACTGTCTTCTTCAAATCCACAAAACAATTGTTATTTTCTCTATAAGGTTAAATAACTTACTTAAAGGCAGAGAATGGCTACTGGATAGGGTTGAAATGCAAGTGTGAAATACAGACCAGAAGTCGGGCAGTTACAGAACAGGGAGATGGGAGTGCGGCAGGCACGGACACGCAGAAGAGACCCCCAAGTTCGACGGCTGAGAAGGCTTTTTGGACCTAAGTGACAACCTAAGACCTGACAGTTGAGGAACGAGTTGATCAGTGGACAGGGAGTGGTCCGGGCAAAGAAACAGCTCAGAGCTGACCTTGGTGGATGTGAAAGCCAAATGCAGCAGGGACATACAGTGATTAAGGAGGGAAGTTGAGAGAGGAGCAGGCTGCAGCCGCCCAGCTCCCTGTCCTTCTGTAGCAGTAGATACGTTTCCCAAATGAGGGTTTCCATGTGACTAAAAAATAAAAACTGGGAGCATTTTAGGACTCTGTATATCCAGAGCTCTAAAAGCAAAAAGCAGCCTGTGTGGCTTGTGCGTGAGGACGTGATGTGGACACAGCCGTCTAGTGGCCTCTCCTAGGGAAGGAGACGGCCGCAGAGATTCCACTCTGAAGCTCCATTCCCACACGTCTGTGCAACCTGTGTGCAGCCACGCCTAGGATGCTATTTTAAAGATTTTTGCTTTCCTAACCCAGTAATAATTTTAAATGAGAATTTCAAAGGCACCAAAGGGCTCCACATGCGGTATTTTATCACAGCTTTTAGATTTTGGTAACCAACCTAAACGGTTACGCAGAGTTCCAAGTCCTGTGCTCCTCTTCCATCAAGATCAGCCTAAACATATGAATTCAAATGTTAAAATTACGGCTTTTATCTCTCCCTGAAATACTTTTGTATTTTATTTTCCACATAAATGTTTCATTGTGCAAGCATATCAAAGCAGATTTAGAGTTGTGGGGTGGGAGAAGTTAGCAGTAATGGACTAGATTAATTTTTCTTCTGTGAGGCAGAACAGATTGGGTTAAGTTATAATTTGCTTTGTTTATTTTACTGAGATTGGCCTTATCACATGGTAATTATTTTCTGATTGAAGATTTCACCCGGGATAAGCTGATTTCATGGGCAAGAATTGAAAACCCACTTTGAATCATTAAACCAAGGCTATTTGTAAACATGACAGGATCTCGGAGCATCATTTTGGAAAGACACTGTATCCCTTTGCGCCGACTTCGTAATAATACATTCTTCAGTGGAATGTGTCACGGCTAACCCAGCTATCAAGCTCATCTCCTAATGGCCATCAGAAAGGGCTTTTTAAAATACCATCTGAGGGTGTTGTGAATGTAATTAAAACCGAGGCAGAGGGACTCCATGGTCATAAGCAGTTTCTTCACCAGCCTCGCATGTGATTAAAGGAAAAGGAAAAACGGATTTGCCTCTGGGGTTTGGCTCGGCAGCACAGACCTGTGCTCCCACTGGGAATGGACCGTGTCTGCCTTTCCCACTCACACCGTTAATAAAATGGATTTGGAGCTGCAGATGTAAATGATGACGATTAAAATGCTTCATGAACTTTCTCTACTAATATTTAGTACATATGATAATTTGTAAAAAAATGATTTGCTTCATAGAATTGTATTACCATATCTACGTTTGCTCCTTAATGCAGGAAGGCAAAAAACACATCTTAGTGAGGAATCATTCTAATGATATTAGTTTGTTAAAATCATCTCCTTTGTGTGAAGCTGATTTAAAGCTATTCTTTGCTCATTAAATTATCTTTCTGGAATTTCTTTAAAAGGAACCACTGGAGCTGCTTATCATAGCTCTGATAGCAAGGTAGTAATAAAGCTTCGTGTTTTCAATTGCCAAATCGGTACATATTTGTTAGAGTTGTGCTCAAAAGTATATATCTGTTATATTTTTTGTCCTCAAAAATGTATACTTCATTTCTTGTGGCTTATGTTTTAACAGATTTTTAAAGACAAATGCAAAGATATCTGTTATCTAACATAGCTATTGATGAGTTTTTTTTAATTTTAGAAATCTGATGAGCTCTTAACTTCTTCATCAGTTCCTCTATCCTGTGAATATCATTTATTGGAATATACCATGCAGCGACACGAGCATTATTTTTTTCTATAATATGTCAGTAGAAGCCGTTTAGTGTTGTGGGCTCCTGAAATCCCAGAAAGAAGTCGGTGACGCAAGAAATGAAGTATGAGGGTGTATTATCCTTTCCCTGTTCTAGGAATTCATTTTTTTTCCTCCTATGCTTGAAAATCTATCTGACCGTCTCTGGGATTTGCTTTGGGAGACCAGGAGATGAACTAGTTTTAAGGCACGTGATGTTATGAACTTTGCGACCGTATGAACCCTCCACCCCTTACTGCCTCTCTTCTCTCCACAGGTGATTTCTATTCCCTACTTTCCAAGCTGCTAGGAGAGAGGGAAGATGTTGTCCATGTGCACAGATATAACCCTACAGAGAAGGCAGAGGCAGAGGCAGACCTGGTAGCCGAGATTGCAAACGTAGTCCAGAAAAAGGACCTGGGTCGGTCCGACGCCAGCGAGGGCGCAGGACGAGAGGAGAGGGGCGACGGTGCTCTTGTCAGAGACAGAATTCACAAGTTCCACAGACTAGAGTCCACTGTGAGGCCCGCAGAGAGCAGGGTGTTCTCACAGCCCCTACCTGCTGAAGGCATCTGGGAGCCAGAACACTCAGGAGGTGCGTTTAGGGTTTCTTTTAAGGAATAAAGTGGGAAATGCTACTGTCCACATAGGCAAACTCTGAAGGGAATAAGCGTTAACAGGTGCAAGAAGCTCATTGATGCACAGAACTCATTAGAAAAAACAAGTCTCAGATTTAGGTTATCAGACGTGACCTGTCTGAGTTGTCTCTTCGTATGGTTTTGGCACCATGCATCATAAATTCAGTTGGTGAGCCAGGAAAACAAAGACCAAAAATATTTGGATCATTTTGGGAAGAGTAGCCTTTGAAATTGAGGATATAAAGAAAGTATTACCAAATCAACATTTTCCATTTGGCTCAATGGAAAGAAATTGAAAATTCGAAAGCTGACGCATGAAGACCCGGTGTATCAAATGCTTATACACTGCCTTCTTTTAAGGCAATTCCGCTCCTCTCAAAGAAATCTCATGCTCATCCAATTGACTTGTAAAAGATCGCCATTCTATGGCTTTGATTTCTTAAGTTCCATTATTGATTACTATCTTAATTGGAAAGTTGAGTATTTCTGAAGGGACCTCCAGTAAGTCAATAGCTGTCAGAGTCATCTTCATGTCTAGCCAGAACTGGCTTCCAGGTTAGAGGCCAAGCCCTTATTCCCTTCAGGTCTCTCTACCAGTGAGCTAGGGATGCCACGCCTTTGCCTGTGACTGTGTGGTGGCCTTTGTGATATTGATTGTGTTTCGTGTTACTTGCCAATGTGGACGCCTGATAACACTGCATGTGGATATAATTTCTGAAACAGTAATGGATGTGCCTGTGCAGTGGCCGTCCCTGCGTGGTGGCCGTCCCTGTGCGGTGGCCGTCCCTGCATGGTGGCCGTCCCTGCGTGGTGGCCGTCCCTGCATGGGCGGGGACGGCACAGGCTGCCAGAGTGATGTTTTCACATTCAGCTCTGCAGGAAGCCGTAAGTTGTTCAACACCCAGCTGATTTTTATTTATAATTTAAAAAAATTAGCACGCAGAACCTTTTGCTCACATGGACGTTTCAAGCATTATCCATCAGGACTGGCCTGATGGCCTCTCTGAGAGTGACTGGAACGTAGATTTTGTAACTCCTAATATTTAAACCAGATCAGCCTTCCCTCCACCTCATTCTAAATTTATCTAACAAAATTTCTCAAGAGGTGGTCTCTGGATCTTCTTGCCTCAGAATCACTTAAGGTCTAGAAAAATCTTGACCCTTGAATCCCATCCAAGATGACTAAATTGTCATCTCTGAGCATGATGCCTGGAAATCAGCAGTTACCATGCCCTGTTCACCTCTGGAGACACACCGGAGTGTCTACCTGACCTCTGTATTAAGGACGGTGAATTATAATCGAAACAACAGGGAAATATAAAATGCTAAAGGGCCTCATTGGTGAAAATAAAATTCTCTGAAGTGCTAGAGTGGCAACTGGCTTTCCTCCAGGTCATGTCCTTGTTGTTCTTGGATTTAATGTGGTACCATAGTCATTTACAGCCTTTCTAAGTGTCCCTGTGACAGAGTTACAATAACAAAACATAGTATCGAACCTAAATAGAAGCCGTTTCATTCCATTTGTTAAGTCAGGGAAAAACATCCTCAGGAATCTTCTATTTTGGAAAAAAGAAAGCGGGAAATCCTTAGCAGATAACGCCCTAATAAAACATATTGGCAGGCCAGTTCCTGTCTGTTCCTCAGTGTAAGGTCAAGGGGAGTGAAATGGATGGATGACCTTCCCTGGTTTCTCTCCTGCCTTTTCTATGCCCCAGGTCCAAAAGAATGAGCCCTGATGGTCCAAAAGAATTCACTTTCTCCCTAAGCGTTTAATCTGTCACAGGGAATTGTCTTAGCCACAGAGGAGAAAGTAACTTTTTATATAAGATCACTACTAAAATAAAACTGTAAAGCTGTTATATTGTTTAATATTATAGCTTATACTATTTGAGATATCTCTGAGACCTCTTAATTTTCAATGAAGAAAGCAAAGCCAGGAGCAACTAACCTATTTGAGGGAGGTCACAGAGCCTGACTTTAAGACTTGATGTCTCCAACCTCCAGTTTACACCTGGCTCCTTACACTTCAGTACACTGTGCTCAGGCCTGGGCCAATGGTCTGACCCAGCTCAGACACCTTCCCTGCAACTCTGGACCCTCACTGCTTAGGGGCGGGAGGCATCTGCTCAGGACCTTGCTCTGTGGTCCAGTTCTTGGCGCCACTGTGGTGTCTGCAGCTGAGGTGCTGTAGAGCCCATTGATCAGTCTGCAGTTGGAACTGTGGTATAACCATAGATCTGGCCAGTTGACTTGAGAGTTCAAAGGTAAAATTAACAGATCAGCTCAAAAATCTAGATAGAACTGTATATTGTAGGCCCAGGAATATCTGAGGGCCCAAAAACAATACCATGTTATAGACCCCTAGTTCCGTCCCGACTCCCTTGGCTCCACACCTTGCCATCTGCCCTTAACATGGGTTCCCCCTCATTATTGGTTAGGGATAGGGCTGGATGTCAGCAAGGGTCACGCTGCCTGGAGCACAGCAGAGTGACGTCTGGAGCTTTGCAGAGATGGTTCGTGCCTTCCCTTCACCGTGTCCCTTAGAGCATGAATGTCTAAGCAGCATCCAGTTTTAGGTCTTGACTTCCTAACTTGTGGGGAGGTTCAGGGTTTATTCTGAAAACTCACCTCCCAATAGTTATATAAACAGCATTAGCCATCTCCAGACACGTCCAGCTGTACTAGACCCGACTGTGTTCAGATTATTGTTTGAAAGGGGCTGCTCAAGTGAGAAGTAGCCGTCACAGCCACACACGCACACCCGGGCTTGTCCCAGAGCAGTTTTACATTTGGCCAAAACACACTTTGGAACCACTTACTTCCTCAAGGTGGTTAATGTAGAAGCCGCCGGCACGCGAGGCTGGAGTCCCAGCTGGACGTAGTACTGGGTTCTATGTGGTGTCTAGACAAGGTGTTTGGAGAGTTTGTTTTGTTTTGTTTTCTTTTTGTTTTTAATTCTCTGAGCTTTAGTTTTCCCACCTATAAGGAGTATAACAGTATGGTCCTCAAAGAGATGACGTGTGGATCAAACAAGTTTCTACCTGGAAAGCACTTGGAGCTGTCTCCGGCCCACAGAAAGCGTTTCATGAATGTTGCGACACAGTAACAACAATTATGATTAATATCGCCACCGTTACTATCATGTTGGACTGAGATTTCAAAAAATTAAATACCAGAGTATAAATATTAATTACTGTGTCTTAAGCAGCACTTTGAGAGAAAGAATTTCCTTGCAGTGTGTAGGGAAGCCACAGGACTGGGACTTTAAGCTGACAAATGGGAAGCATGACTCAGCACGTGCTACACTAACAAGAGCTTGTGGCTTCTCAAATCTCCGATCCCTGGTGCTGGTTGACTCTGATGTTTGCGTGTGGTATATGATGCACGGTGTGAGAACAGGCGACGTGGTGAACTAAGGAGCAAATGCACTCCATTTACACTGAACGAAATTTAATTTCTGTCATCACTAGTTTAATATCAATGTTGATACAGCATTAACAGAGTAGAAAGGAAATCACAGGTGTTTTTATTCTAGTTGCCTTTTGGGAACTAGACTCTAAACAATAAATTAAAAACTGGCAGATTTGACTGGACTGCCCCATGCTGGTGCATGGAAGCCTGACCTCTGCCTTTGTGTGAGAACTCAGAAGGTCTTTATTCATAGTATAGTCTTCATTTCTATGGAATTTTTACTTAATTTCAAAGTCCATTCTTATTTCAGCCATATGCTTACCTTTAGGTTCAGTTACAGAATCCCCAGAGTGATGAGCTTTCAGTTGGCTGAACGTTCATCTCAGGAAAATGGGAGAGTACCAGGAACAGACACGCACACAGCACTTGCTCTGAGCCAGGCGATGTTGTAGACGCCTCACTCCTAAGAGGAAGAAACTACAGCACCACAGGGCCAAGTCACACGCCCAGGCTGAGCTCAGGAGAGAGATGAAAGCCCCTTAGACATGCACCAAATCTTGGATTTCATCACTTTGCTATTCTGCATCTTGCAAAGAAATGAAATATCTAAGTATACACATAGAAAGGAAAACAAATTCCTTCCAGCCATCCAGTTGTCTCAGCCTGCAGGTGTGGTAACTACAGGTGTTAGAGGTGCATTAGTCACACTCTCTCGGTCAGCATCCAGCTGGACCAAGACAAAACTCTATTTGCAATTAAAGAAACTGGAAAGAAAAGGATCCTACTCGTGCTTTTGAGTCCCTAGCTTTATCTTAACTCTCTTTCTCACTTCACTCCCATTAAATGGAACCTTATAATTAATTCTTATTTTCTTCCTGACTTTTATGTAAATATTTCTCCTGTAGCTTTAGTTAATTATAGCTATTGCAGGGCACTTCTGACAAGTAACAGTCCCTGACCAAAATAAGAAATCTCTTTCTCACCAGATGAAAATTTGCAAGTGCAGGAACACCAACCACATTCTGGCTTTTTAAAAGCCTTCTAGTGATGTTATGAGCGTCCATTTCCTTCAGATTAAATGTGAAGAGCGTTGTTACATTAAAGTTAAATCATAGTTCCGGTCTTGAAACTTTATTTTTTTCTCAACTTTATCTAGCTCTGCTAATCCTTACGTAACGCAGATAAATGAATGACCTTTTAAATGCTTGTTAATAATTTCATGTGAAGGCAGCATTGATCACTAACATTAATCTCCTTTATGGGAAAGTATAATTAATTAATTAATTCTTTCAGTGATGAATAGATGCAATTTAAATAGTAAGGTTTAATTTTATCCTAAAAATAGTAACTCATTTTTCTAAATGCCATGTATATGACAGAATATGACAGATTATGCAGCCGTACATTTATTTTTATTTATAACGAAAGCAAGGATTCTTTATAAAACGATATAATATTTATCCTAAAGGTATTGTAATGTCACTTGTAAAAACAGCATTTTAAAGACTCAGGGTCATTTTACACCTTATTATCTTTTAGAATTAAC